CATGCTAGAAAACTGGGGGAAACATGTATGGAAGCTTGGTGAGGGATTTTTACAGAACATAGGGCTGAGACAAAGCAGAAAACCAGAGCTAACTCAGCTTGCATCAGGTAAACTCTTTGTTAATTATAAACATGGACTGGGCAGTCACATTTATAACCACATAGACATGTCTTTGGGGTTCATAGCATACTGAACCAGTTTTCATATGAAACATTAGGATTTTGAATCATAATTCCATACTCTCACAGCTTTTGATAAAGAGTAGACCAAAAAAAATTTTTTAAGTAATTTGCATATGTAAGTTTAAAGTTTCCATTTTTTTAAAGCTATTTAAAGCTGTTATAACCTAGATTTCCAAAATACATTTTCAACTATGTTAAGAGTATTTTGAAGCAGTTTTATAACTAGCATTTTTAAGTAGTTTTCTTTTAATATACCACAAATTACACTTTACTTGTTCTTGACAACATTGTAGAAAACAAAGACTAGGTTTTTAAACTGTCTAACCAATCTGATGAATGTCAGTCACTTAAAAAAAAAAAAACCACTGTAGCATAAACACACACTGTATACAGCTTTTATTCAGAATTAGAATAATTGAATCAATGACAGTGATTCGCCAGGATGTCAAATCTCTCCATCAGATCCTGTCACTACCAGTTTATTTTTTGTGATCAAAATCAAAAAGACAACTATTTTGTCACCCACTATTTCATTAGTACTAAAAATCAGATTTTTTTTTCTTTCTTTTTTTTTTTTTTAGAATGTCTGGCGTGTGGTTTTTTGTTTTGTTTTGTTTTTTTTTTTACTTCTTTTAATTCAAGAGACACAAATTCTTTCCATTTTCATTTCAAAATAAAGTTTAAGAATTGATCTGTCAGTAAAAATTAGAGGGCTTTTTTATATTAAGCAAAGGTGCTTTTAAAATTTAAAGAAACTTCAGAAACTCAATTTAGTTCATAGATAATAAAGCATGTGCAGTTACTCCCCCAAAAGCTTTGCTATATCCTTTGAAAGAATTATGAACAATCTGAATAAATTCAAATGACTATTTTAGTCTGGTTATTATTTTAATGTCTAACCTTTTTCTTACCGTGTTGTGACTCATTTTATACAAACACACAATGGAACAATTACATAACATTGGACTCGAAAAGAAAATGTGAGGTCATCAGATATTTAAATTGCTTGTCAAAAATACTTAATAGGTCATTGATTTACTACCCTGGGTACCATGTCTATAAAATTAGCAGCCAATTACTAGTTAATGTATGCTTTGCAAAGATAAATGCTCTAAAAATTGAGTGAGCATATTTGATCCCAACTTATTTTAAATATAAAAGAAAGTTTTCAAATTCAGAAAAAGTGCATTTTGAACAATAGTACCTGGGCCTTCCAAAAATGAGATGCAAGTGTTTGGTTCTGATTCACTAGGCAGGCTTTGTAAAGATTAGCTACTGAAGAGGGATGTATATTTTTGTTTTCCTCCAATAAAAACCTACTCTGAAAATGTATTTTCCTTCCTCTGGAAGCAATATCCAATCAGCCATATGTTAATAACTTACTACAGAAAAATAGTGGTCTTCACAGATGCTACCATAGGTATATGGACCATTTCGATACATTAAGAAATATACATTCTACAAGCAGATTTTTTTCAATTATCAACTTGTCTCAAGATATAAACACTTATGTAACAATGGCAAACAGAGTTTTTTAAATGTTTCTAAAACTTCAAAACTTAATTTCTTACGCTAGATTTGCCGTTTTTTAGTGAGGTAAATATTTTGACTACTGCAGTCTGCTCAGGTCCTTGGGTTCTAAGACCTTAGGGATTACTTTTTAGTAGCACCAATTTCCACTTTTCTCTTTCTCACTCCCACTTATTCTTTATTTGCACCTCCAGGATCTGCGATTACTAACACTTCACAAAATAAAACTACTTCATAAGAAGCAACATTGCCAATTGATTCCCTATCTATCTTTTAATTTCAAAGAATCAGACACAGGCATCCACATACAAAAGGAAAATGGGGGTGGGGTGGCCCCTATTCATTTGTTTAAGCCCATTATGAATGTCATTTCTAAAACATATCAATGCCTTTCCTAGATAGTCGCCATCAACACTATCAAACTTAAGCAAGACTAACTCTAAATACTTACACTCTGAACTTTAAAACTGAGCAGAAGCCATGCAAAAAAAAAAAAAAAAAAAAAAAAAAAAGGTGAGGTTTATTCTGGAGAAAAACAAGGGAAGAATTTGTGTTTGGTCTTGGTGAGCCAGACATTCAAAGCAGAGCCTTCTTTTAATAACTTTTAATGTGAAGGCCCAGGGAAAACCAATACGCAGAAGAATATAGACACCACCCTAAGATGATAATAATTCTCAAAAAAAAAAAAAAATAGCTGAATCTTAAAAAGTAATATACTGTATCTCAGGAAACTAGTTACGATTTTTTTTTAAGCAGGAGGAGATGAGTATATGTGAGCCGAATCAAGAAAAGTCAGTGGGTCACCATGTAAGAGTCAGGAGGCACAGCTTTAGAGGGAAAATATTCTGGAAACTCCTTGTAGTAAGAAAGAATGTTTTTACTCAGTAACCTGAATGTTTCTTACTCAAACAATCACCTCTAAGTCTGTTCACCTGGTCTCCCTAAGCGAGCCAAGCTTGGAGGAAAAGCATAAGCTGTCAGTCGTGTGGTTCTACTGAGGACACCCCAAATACCAGGCACCGTCCTGGAAGATGTGGAGTTCCCACCAGAACATACACTCATCCCCCAACCTGTAAAAAAATGAACGTTTTCAACAATGAGTCGAAGTCGGCCTCCTGGGCATTGCTTCCCCCACAGTGCTGGCCATGCCGTCCCCGGGAGGGTGCCTAGAGCTGCATTCAGGGTACAGCTCATCTCCCCAGGGTGAGGGCAGAAGGCAGGGCAGCCTTCCATCCTGCTGGACCAGAGGGCTTTTGCAGCTGGGCAGCCACTTCTTCCAACTCAACCAGGTCGTGTCACTGTGACCTGGAAGTCTAGACCCTCAGAGGTCACGGGTGTATATACACACAGGCCCAAGTGCACACACACAGACCGTCCACTCCCCCAGCAATCCCCTTCTCCCATTCCCAGCTCCTGCACCCAAGGGCCACCAGTTCTCCAAAGACTATACGCTACCCAATAGAGCCATAGGTCAGAACTGTTTGCCTGACCCTGGCCCAAATCATAGCCGGTTGGAAACTGTCTCCCTTCTCCCAGGGGAGAAGCCAGGCAGCAGCTGCAGCACGCACCACACGTAGCCATTCCGACAGTTCCCTGGACACATGTCCCTCTGGGAATGTAGGCTGTGAAATGTCAGGAGGTAGAAACACCTGCATGGGGCAACCGTACCAACAGTGCATATGTATGTCTGCACACGCCGCTGCAGAGGTGTGCAAGCATGCAGTGCAGACTGACATTGACTCAAACTACACACACACATGAAAAAGCTACAGTCAACCTTGGAAGGTGTCTCTAAATGCACAGCAACTCTGGTGGAATAAAAGCATTAACACATAGCATGCCAGAGAGATGAATCACAATGATCTCTTCACTAGTGACTCCTTAACAAGAAAATAGGACACGTGGAGGTAGAAGGTTGTTTTTTAAAGCCTCCAACTAATTTCTATATTTCTGATCATTTGCTTTTGGGGATTCAAAACATAACAAAAACAAACAAACAAACAAAAAAAGCACAGTACAATTCAGTGGAAGTGTGTCTTTGTCCCCAGGGGTTTGTGCCTGTGTTAGCATTTAATCTACACTCCCGGGACCCCCGGCCTTCCTTTGACAGAAGTTTGCAGAAGGAAACTCCTCTATATTGACTTACATGTTGCACGGACCATACAGAAATAAAAGTCTCAGACGGGTTTTCAAAACAACAAAGGCTTATTTTCTTCCATCCTTTGCTTGGGCTCAAGCACTCCTGCCCTGCATGCTGCCACTTTAAACATGATCAGATCTGTGCTTCATTGCAAATAACAACTGACCAACAATGGGCCCTGCTTCATAGATTTGGGAATGTTTGGCTTAAGCTGCCAATGACTGAAGGCCTTTAACTCCCACTGGCCAGTCACAGTCTGCTTTGTTGTTGTCTGTTGATGTGTCTGTGCTCATTATTCCTTGACATGCAACATCCACCCTCCAACCCTCCAACCTTCCACAACCGCACAGAAAGGGAGATTCAAATGGGAACAGCTGTAGTGGTTCAATGGGGAATGATGCCTCTGTGCAAAGGAGAGGGAGAGAGAAAAGGGAGAAAGGCAACAGCTTTCAGAGAGTCTTGTATAAGAAATCTACTTTTGAATATACTTCAGTGAAATTGCTGTTAAAATAGGCTGACAATGGAAATCTGCCCAGATTGAAAATGCCAGCCCTAATTCAAAAGACAATTCTTAGTTAATAGCTTGTTGCATTTTTTAAATTATTTCTAGACTTTGAGCTTTTGAATTAAATGGCTAGCTGGAAAATGTTTCCATTTAGTATGTGTGTTGTGGGCATCAATGGGCACAGAGCTACATGCATTTTCAAGTGGAATTTTTTTCTAACCCATTTCCAATTTATGGTATCTTTAAGAATTATTTCTTTAAGGATCATCGGGATTTAAAATAGAGAATGTATGATAGCAACCATTGGTTTAGAATGCTACTCCAATATGGGAACAAAATTTGTAACACCACACTATAAGCTTAAAAAGAAAATAGTATAATAAAGGAAATACAAAGGCTTTGGCATGGTTTTAACAATCAACAATGGTTAATTTTGATATGTAGTTGTGAACAACTTCAAAACACTTAAGTTTAAAACTCTTGCAAGCACTTTTAATTGATTAGGAATGAATTCTAGATGCACAAAATGATTGGACTGTGAACAGTAATACAGCTACATCTAAGAACAATAAACTTTTGCTGGCCAAAAAAGAAACATATGATTGCATGAAAATGTGTATAAAACATCTATAGAGTATTCTTGTCAAATATAAATGAAATTAACTTTATTATAGAAATCATTCTGAGGATTTCTAGGGAAGACAAATACTTACATTTTGACATAAAAACAAATTGGATTATACCGAAGACACGCTCTACCTTTCAGCTATCAACTTTTTTCTTCTTCGAATTTATATCTTACCCTTTTTTTGCACATAAACTTCATCTGTTAACAACCTTTGGAAAACCAACAGATATTTCTTACATAAATCTAGTGCATTTTGTTCCAGGTTTAATTATATGCAAAGGAATGATACAAACTTGGAACCTCAGTCCATAAACTATGAACAGATGGGTAGAAGTATTCGATATATCTCAATAAAACTCTTAAATTCATGGCAAAGCTTGTTGATCATGGTTTCCTTAAAAACAAAACAAAACAAAAAAAAACTTCATGACCAGCACAGATCAAATGTCCATCCAGTCTATGTTGTTCTTTTTTTCATTATAACATACAAACGCCCATTTACAAATAATACACCAAAATGAATAAAAGTTTGGATACCAAAATGAAGATTTGTTCCAACCGATCTCGTGCCTTCTGTATACAAAGGTCCTTGTTCCAAGTCCATGCCCCCGTGGTACAACTCGGGGCACAATCGCAGAACTGAAGTGCTACTAACAGCCATTTTCCTTTCCTTCCTGAACGCCCAACTGTTGTGTCCACATAGTCACTGACTGAATTAACATGATATATTTTCTTTCTTTTTTTTTTTCTTTTACTGTAATCTTGGCCAATATTGAGACATATCAGGTTCACTTCCAGGAACTTGAACTGGAACTGACACACCAGGGGAAATGAGTCCTAGAAGTGGGTGAAAAAAAATAGCCATGTAGATATTCCCTTCGAGAGATAGGCAAGGAGTATGACTTCATATTTAAGACAACAAGCTCTAATGCATTCTAACATTTTCACTGTATTTTCATATATCTTGAAGTGTTACAAACCAAAGTAGCAGTTTCAGAAGCCACATAACATTTTACACACCCTTATTGAATCCAAGTCCCCTATGCCAGCGGTCGGCAAACTCATTAGTCAGCAGAGCCAAATATCAACAGTACGATTGAAATTTCTTTTGAGAGCCGAAAACCGACTTCTGCACATGCGCCACAAAGTTTTAATCCGCTGTAAGTACGCGCCCACATGTGGTATTTTGTGGAAGAGCCACACTCAAGGGGCCATAGAGTTGTATGTGGCTAGTGAGCCACAGTTTGCCGACCACTGCCTTATAAACAAGAGGGGGGGGGGAAAAAACAGAAGAGAAAAAAAAAACGCCTCGTTGGTTTGTATTTTGGGACTTTGTGATAAAACTATCTCTGGAAAACCAATGTGGTACTTCAGCTGCAATGAGAAGCACAGAGGAGCTAGCGGGGAGAGAAGTCTTCCAGTAAACACTCACCGTGCAGCTCAGGGAGCCCTAATTGTTGAACTATAGCTAATGATCGCTCCTCTGAGACCTTACATTCTTGGGCCTTGGCTTTACAGACAACCTCAGGAAGAACAACTTTGCTTTCTGTCTGTATAGTGTCAAGTTACTAACTAGGTTGGCTGAATTTCCCTTTTCAATCACTTTTCCCCAGAAAAGCAAGCAATAAAGAGTTAAATACAGGATCACACAAGGCCAGGAGGGGTGTGTGTGTGTGTGTGTGTGTGTGTGTGTGTTTTCTTTAGGTCAACTTTGAGTATAGAGAGATCACCTGGCAAAAGAAGCTCCTAAGCAGCCTGAGGAGTAGCAGCTCACCTGTGGAAGTGGTGCCCGAGGTGCCCATTGGCTGGCTGTTCATGTGTGTCTGCATATGTGGGGGGGTATAGGTATCATAACTCCGCCCATTCACCGAAGGGCTGGTAGGCAGCATGCAGGAGTACGAGGACGTCTGGCTGGGGACTGGGGGCTGAAAGGAGAAAGACAAGCCTGTGGTTACAGAGAAACACATCACACAGCCACATCCTCAAGCTCCCTCCTCCCCAGGAACTCTGCCAGCAGCTCTGACCACTGAAGATGTCCTCATGTAAAGAACTGGAAAATTCCATATGGGAACTCTTAAGATCAGGCCTCCAACTAGTCCTTCCATTGGCCACTGCTAGAGTAAAACTGCCTATACACCAAACTACTAAAAGTACTACAACCCAACTCAGTGGTTGGGTGTCAACCTATGAACCAGAAGGTCATGGTTCAATTCCAATAGGGGCAAATGCCCAGGTTGCAGACTGGATCCCCAGTGTGGGGCATGCAGGAAGCAGCCAATCAATGTTTCTCTCTCACCATTGATGTTTCTGCCTCTCTCTCTCCCTCTCTCTTCATGTCTGAGATCCATAACAATATTTTAGATAAATAAATGTACTACAAATTTAGACAACTGCCCAGGTAGACGGTGGCACTACCCATAAAATTAATAGGACTTTTGTGCATTTTTGTCTTGGATCTCTGCTGACATCTTTAGAGAAGCTATAGCATGAAGACTTTCATTAAAACACATCCCTTCTTCGGTAAATGCAATCTATTTGAGAACCCAGTGACCCCCAAATCCCAAGCTGTGAGGCAGGGAGCAGTGGGAGGAGCTCTCTATGAAGTTGGGTTGGGGACTTTGGGAGCCTTTCATGGCTGGACTCATGGGATTAAAGATTCTTTAAAGAGACAGATCAGTAATGATCTCGTATTAAAGTAGTTAGAAGTGTCAGTAAATACCTTGCCCCATCCTGAGAATTAGCTAAAACTTCCTTATAGACCCACAAACCCAGCCTGGGTTTTCTCCTTAAAATGGTGTTGCAATGGTGATATAAAAGAGATGAGCCTTTCTCCTAACTAAATGAGAAATACACAGAACTGGGCAAAACCCATGAACCCTCACGGACAGACAACTTAGGATGAATCAATAGAAGCATGATGTCAGAAACAAGGGAGAAGATGATAGTACTACTGCACTCTGCAAACTATAGACATGTTTAACATTGCAACATCCACAGACTTAGAAAGCATGACACATTAAAGAAGATTCAGAGGAGGACACCCAATCTTTTTGTAAAATGGTGGAAGACTATGGTCAACATGATGAAGTGATGGACAGAGAGGCTAGCTCCACACAAACACCAGCAACCCCTGCTCCCGCTCCAAAATTCAAAAGGGTAATTTCCTCTGAACAGAATCACCGATATTTTTATTTTCTTTAGTCTTTATGAATGCATGTATATTTTGGGGTGTATAGGTTGTATAATGTTTTTAAAGTCAGAGAAATCAATTGGCCCATGCCAGTTTATATGTGAAAACAACCCTAATAGAATAGCAGCATCTGTTTGTTTCTATTGATTCCCTTGTACATATTTGGTTATCTTCACAAAAACCTAGATGTTGCTACAATTTGCAAAACCGAACAGAACAAGCTACTCAGTGGCCTTACTCAAGTCAGAGGATGACTGCTAACAGCAGTTTCAAAGAGGCAAGCAGGCCTTGAGGGCCCTGCCAGAATTTCAGCTTGCATTTGTTTCTAATTCCCAAAATCACTTCCTCCAGGCAATCAGACTTCTGGAAAATTCCAAGGCAGTTGTAGTAACACCAACTAATGGGTTGTTAATCCTTTAATTTATAATAATTGCACCATGGCCAATCATATCCAGGTGCAATAAAAATAAACATGGAAATAATGCTTCTGAAGTTGCTTATCTAGCTGCTCCTGTATTGGTCTGAAGACTGTGAAACACTTATTCTGCTGTTACTTGGATTAGAGAAACCCAGCAAAAGATATTCAGTGGAGAATAAACACTCTGTGACCACAGAACTGGTTCCAGGAGGGGCTCATGCTGGCCAATCTCACACCATAGGCATCTATAATTGTTGCACAGGCAGGAGTCCTAGGAAAGTCACTGTGGAGGGCCCAGCAGAAGACCAGATTTTTCCTCTGGATGGGGGAAAGTTCTAGTACATGCCACCTGCACTGTATAACTTCCACCATAAAGGCTTAACCTTAATAGACTAGAGGCCCGGTGCATGACATTTGTACACTGGGAGGGGGTGTCTCTCAGCCTGGCCTGTGCCCTCTCGCAGGCATGTGTAGGGGCTGATCAATATCTGGGACAGAATTGATAGTAGGTAGGGACAGGTTGTTATACCAAGTAAATAGCATCATCCCAGGCAGCTTGGAGTGTCACAAACTCATCACATAATTCTCAGCAAAGACACGCTAAATTTCTAGCCAATACCTTCTGTGTCTTTTCTTTATTGTAAGATGTACAAAGAAAACTAGCTATTTCTCTATATTAAGCATATACCACTATGCAAATATGAGTCCCATTTCTGACCAATTTTATCTTCCTCACTAGCTTATCACATATAATGTCCAAAATGCATACACAGATTATATATCCTATGTAATAAAACCCTAATATGCAAATCAACTGAACAGGGGAACGACTGGTTGCTATGACATGCTTTGACCACCAGGGGGCAGATGCTTAACACAGGAGACGCCCCTGGTGGTCACTGCGCTCCCACAGGGAGAACACTGCTCAGCCAGAAGCCTGGACTCATGGCTGGCAAGCACAGCAGCAGTGGTGGGAGCCTCCCCCACCTATGTGGCAGGCAGACATCCCCCAAGGGCTCCTGGACTGCGAGAGGGTACAGGCCAGGCTGAGAAACACCCCCTCCCAGTGTACAAATGTCATGCACCGGGCCTCTAATCTATTATATGAACACATTAATATAAACCCTAACTTTATTTCCAATCCCGTACTATCTGATAATGTGCATTATTTCCATTTTCCAGGACAAGTTTCACTGACATCCAAAACATGCCTCCTTCCCACCCACCATTATCAAGCTAACATACATTCTCTGTGAGCAACAAGCAGATAAACTTGATTGAAACATCAGGTTTTTGTATTTTTTTTAAGGGCATGAATCAATCAATCAACTAAAAGCTGGATTGACTGTTTTCATCTCAGACGAGACTGGGCAAGCCAATTACTGTAGTGAGAAAGACTCCCAAGGGGGGCATACACGGCCAATGATGTCTGCATTGTGGGCCCTGACCCACTCCCCACCCCCGCTAAGCAGGCCGCCACAGGCCTCACTTACTTGCATAGGCAGGTTATTGGCCATGGTGAAGCTGGGCATGGGTGGCAGAGCGCTGTACGTGTTGGTGAGGGCTGTGTCTGTTCGGCCCAACATGGAGCCCGATGTGAAGGAGGAAACTGCAGGGAAAGAGACACAACCAACAGTCCTGGTGAGAGCCAGAGCCCAGGGCAAGTGGGTTTAAACACATTTCTTAGTAGTAGTAGTAACACTTCACATTACCAGGCGTGGTGGGTTGTGGGATTGGTTGGTAGACACTGGTGCTGAAACTACTGCTGATAGGAATATGACTAGGTGTGTTGCTGGCCTGTCTTCTCTGATTCCTCAGTTTTTCTTCTCTTCTCCATTTGGCCCTTCGATTAGAAAACCATACCTGAAATCAGACAGAACAGGTTAGCCCTGCACCCACCACCGGCATTTCCGCTGTGCCCCTCCCCCCACTGGTGGCAAAGTACTCAGCACACTGAATCTGTTACCATTTACATAAATGAATGAAGTTCATTAGAAGCATCTTTGTCTCCAGAAAAGGCAAATGGTTTGAATAGCAAAGCATGAAACCACAGGGCAACTGGGTACCTGTATTCTTGCTTCAGGTAGATCTATTTTGGCCGCTAGTCTTTCTCTGGCAAACACATCTGGATAATGGGTCCTCTCAAACTCTGAAAGAGTAAGTTTTCTTTGTTGTGCCAGAACTACACATAACATGTCCGCCACATCCTGACTCCAACTGGTTCCCGCTTCCAACCAATTCCTTTTAAAATGCTACTACTGTTGGAGGAACTATCCCACCAGAACCAAGCTAAATTCTCTTTGGAATGACATTCATTCAAGGACTCTTCTGTGGCCTGAATTAGCCAACTCATCTTTTTTTTTTTTTTTTTTTTTCTTCAGTATGAGAAGTCAGAATTTTAGTCTTTGAATTATTGGTACATGAAAAGAAGAAAGAAAATACACACATACACACACACACACACACACACACACACACACACACACGCACTGAAAAGATGCCCAGAAAAAAATAAAGAAATAAAGAGACAAAAAGAAAAGAGAAATCTACTCAGTCCTCTATGCAAAGGGCCCTGGCTAAATTTAGCTCTTTGTACTGAAGATGTGGCATTTACTTTGATTTACTGTTTCTCTACTTTGAAAAACTTCATCACCTTTCTCCAGGGCCTCAATTTGCTCTTGGGTAAAGGATGTTCTATTTCTTTGTAGCTTCCGCTTCAGCTGAAGTCGCATTTGGGCTTCATCTGAATCTTCTCCATTGGAACTGATGGAGTTAGTATTCTCTCCCCCTCCTTCCTGTTGCTGGCAGCCATCTGGAACAAAAAGAATAGGACAGTATGAGAAATTTGGAATAACTTGGGGCCTCCAAAGGGTCTGGTATAGCCACAAACTCCAAGAGCTGTATATTCAGACAGTCTTATGAAAACATTCCCAAGGGATGTTTCTTTTTAATAAAAGGCATTTTGGACATACATCACCTGACCTTTTTTTTTTTTCTTTCTTTCTGTTTTTATCAAGATGAGCCCCACCATACAATATACTTACAGAGTAACATTTCTTCGAATGACAAAATAAGTGCTAATGTTTCCGATTCAAATGATCTTTCATAACTAAACGTGACTCCCCAAATGCTTTACCCAGTTAGTTACCTTTCCCTACAGAATCTATTTACCTATGGCTGTGTTGGGAAAATAGAAGAGTGATGCTCACGATTTCAGCTGATCTATAATCAGTAATTCCTATCTAATCAATTAGATGTTGATAGGTTTGTAGAAAATGCTATTAAGAAACCAAACCAAGCTTGTAATCTTTTAAAAAAAATATTTATCTAGTTTTTATTTTAATTCTGCACAGTCAATTTCATTTTAAAGGTTGTGAATTTAGAAATACTCGCATTGTTCTGCAGTTTTATTCAACTATTGTATGAGTGCGCTTTGCCTTGACACCTATTACGAGCACAGCTGTAATTATATCATCACCAAGAACAGGCTATAATTGCTGAAAATCGAATTTTATATTTAGATAAAAGGACTGTCCATTCTTTGTAATGTGTTGCACCAGAGAAAAGTAAGATTTCTTTTAAATTTTTAACGTGTAATTTAAAAAAAGAAATAGTAGAGAGTTCACTAACTAGCTAAGTATTCTAGGCTGCAGCTGAATCCTTGGCACATCATTTAAAGTGGTACATTTTTAATTAGGGCATTTCCACCACTTTTAATGTAATTTCTATCATTAAACAGGGGAAAGTTTTATTGTTTTCCCTTGTTGCTGGGAGGGCAAGATGTGCACTTGAGCTGGCTGTCGCTTGTCTTGCGCCTTGCCCAGGAGGCCACAGCCTGTCTGAAGGGAAGCGCTCAGCCCTGACTGGGTCGGCAAGCTGGGTCCTAGGTCTTGGGTCCTAAGGCCCCCAAGGGAAACCAACAGGGGCTGACCTAGAAACTTGGCCAGTAGGGGGTGGGGGGAGGGAAGGGGCCTCTAGGGGGCCTTGGTGGGAATCGACTTGGCCAGGAATATCATTTATAACCGGGAGACAATAGGCATCGCCTTCAAAGAGTTCAGGGAATTGTGACAGGATCTAGTGGGGATCTTTTCAGGAACTTTGAAATGTTTTAAAACCCCAACTTTCTCCCCCATTTAAACAGGCGGATTCATCGGCACTGGCCACCATATGGGCCCTCGGAGATCTATTGAGATGACCACCAACACTTGAATAGCGAGGGGCTGCTTTTCAGCTCTGCACAATGCCCCGCGAGTAAGGGAAACTATTAAACTCCTGGGGCAGGAGCGCAGGCAAACTTTCGTGGGCAGAATTTTGAGGCCACAATGAGCGCGCACAACAAAAGGATTCTCTTGAGGCGTGCAGCGGGCCACATTGTGTTACAAGAAGCCCAGTCAACAGACTTTTCAGTGAAGTGTGTTAACCCCTCTGCTCCGCTATCATTAATCACTGTCCGGAGAGCGGGCGCCTCAATGCTATTTAGGGGCTTGGCTGGGGGGATGGGGAGGGGAGAGGTGGAAGGTGGATGGGAGGGCCAGGGTATGGAGTGGGGGGGGGGGGCGCAGGGAGGGTGGATGGGGACTAGAGGGCATTGGGGGGGGGGGCTGATGATCAGGGATGATAGAGACCAGGGTTGGGGGATAGGGGTGAAAGCCTGGAGGGAAGATGGGGCGGGATTGGTAGGGGACAGGGAAGAGGGGAGGCAGACGGAGGAAGAAAGGTGTAAGAAAGACAGAAAAGAGTGTTGAGAGGAAAAGGAGATAAGAAGGTGGAAGGAGAGAGGAGAGAAAGAGGAAAGGGAAGATAAGGGGGAAAGAGTATTAGTCACAGGCAGAGGCACTACTTAGGGTGGTCTTGTGCTGTCTCAGAAAGGCTGGAGTCGGGAGGGCTACTAAGCGCAGGGGAGACTCGCCCACCCAGCACACCTTCGCTAATTTACTGCCCCAGGTTTCTGAGGGACTTAGCAAAGTGTTTTTTTGTATGTGCTTTTTGTTTTTGTTTTCAGGAGAAGAAATGAAGAGCTGCCCTTATTGGGGGTTCAGTGAATGAGGAGGGCTTTAGCAATAGTCCTTTTGGGCCAACTGGACAGGCTCCTAGGGTATTGCTTTGGAAAAAAAAACAAAAAACTGGTCATCGGACGTCTAGAGACACGGCCCTGTAGAGACCACAATCCCATCTCGCAGGGGTGATCAGTCATGCCTTCCAGGAGGCCCCATCCCAGGCCTTTTTCTGGCACATTCGATCTTGCCAATGAAACAAAGCTGCCCGGTCTCTCTCAGAAGACCCTCACTGATAGCATTCTCTGCTCTCCTTTGCTTCTCTGACACCTTCCTAATTTTAAAACATGGACATTTGCCCACGCTTCCCTTCTCCTTCCTCTTCCCCTCCTTCTCCCCCCCCCCCCCACACACACACAATCTCACACAAACGCAGGCAAGCACGCAGCTGACTTGAGAACTGGCATTTAAGGAGAGGAAAGTCAACGGAGAGGAGGGGAGCTGGATTTTAAACTTCTTTGGGGCAGAGTGGAATTTAGAAGCAGGTCAGGAGAAACCCGTGCCTATAGCATCCCTCCGTGACTCCTCTTAGCGGTGCAAACCTGCACCATTATTATTATTATTATTATTATTATCATTATCATCATCATCATCATCATCATCATCATCATCATCGTAGCAACTGTTCTAGCCAGGCGGTGACAGAGCGGTCACTCTTAGATTGCTCCCTCCCTCCCTTTTTCCTTTAGTGGATTTACCTTTCTCCCTTCAAGCTTTTCACAAAAATAAAACTAGAAGCTGGATCTCAAATTCCCCATATGATAAAGCTAAGTGGCAAACAATTAAGATATCTTCTTTAAAAGGCGCCCCCTCCGAGCGCGGGAAGGCGCCTTCAATGGGCCGGGGCGCCGTCCACCTTGCAGCCTAATCCGCGCGGAGGCCAGTGAAAGCGCCTCCCATTATCCCAGCCCCAGGACCATCTGACGCTGGGGACGGGATTTGTTTCTGGGAGGAGAAGGGAGGTGGGGGGGAGGACGCTGGGAAATAAAATCATTCCTTAGTTTCTTAGTGTCTTAATCAGTGAGGCGGAAAACAAGCAAGAAAAGATAGCAACCCGGTTGCGGCACCTTTTCAGCTCTGGAGGCCCGGATCAAAACATTGTAGCATCTGTTGAAAAAGAGACTGAATAAATCCTATAGAGGGCCTGGGTATTGGGGAGGGGGAGGGAAGGGAGGTGAGGGTAAGGGGAGGAGATAAGAAAAAGTGTCTCGTGATCCCTAAAACCCAAATCGCCGGAGAATTGGGGCCGGATAGAGTTGTCTCTTGTCAGCCCACGTCCTCCCGATCTTATCCACTGCCGCGTGGGGTCGATTGGATGGAAACCGTACTTGTCTCCCTCTGAGACCTAACCTCGCCTTATGCTTTCGGAGTAAGAGACTCTTAAGAAGCCCCAAAACGGCTTCCTGGCCCAGGGAAAGGGGCCAATGCGGGAGGGGATCCTTGCTAACTCCCAGAAGCCTGAAGATCCCCCCAAGCGTCCGCCCAAGCTCCCCACCGGCGCCCGCGGCCCCCACGCGCGGACTCGCACGCTCGCTCGGTGTGCGAGACGCGCGCTGCCCCCGCGCCGGGATCGGGGCACAGACTTGGGTTTTGTGCGGGAGCAGAAGCGGGGCTGGCTGGCAGTTAGTTGGGGAATTCTCTAGCAACTCGCTGCTGCAAGTACTAAGTTCCCTCCCCAATCGCCACCACCAGGTCCCCGCGGGTAGGCAATCGCTTCCCGCCCTCGCGCTCCCGGAGACAAAAAGCTGCCCGAAGCCGCGCCGCCCGGGCGGGAAGCGGCGGGGCTAGCAAAGCTGCAACCTGGGCTTCTGCAGCCTGGGCTTCTGCAGCCTGGGCTTCTGCAGCCTGGGCTTCTGCAGCCTGGGCCCGAGAGCCGAGGGGCCAGTGCGGAGGCTCGGGGTCAGCTTGTGGGACCCAGCCGGCTGGAGGCCCGGGGCCGCTGGGGAGCTGGCGGCAGGCGCAGTGGAGGGGGAAGTGCGCTTTCACTTGAGTGTGTCCACTGTGCGCACGTGGGGCTCCAAGCTGCAAAGGTCAAGTGAGGGTGTGGTGGTCCCCACTTAACCATGTCAGCCCCGCGCCCTCAGCAGACGCCGCGGCGGGCCTGGGCCTGCAGCCGGGTGGGAGGCGGATCCTCAGGTGTGCCTGCGGAGCTCCGGGAGGCGGCGGGTTGGGCGATCCGGGAGGGAGGGGATCGGGCGGGCGGGTCTCCCAGCTCAGAGCATCGGGAAGCTCTGGCCGACCGGGCGCGGCGCTGGGAAACCGGGACCCAGCGCTTTGCTCCCTATCTTCCCAGTGTCCGTCCTATATTGTTTTCTGCTCTTAACACTGACATGTCTAATTGGCAATTGGTGCCGAATCGTGTCCAGAGGTCTCTTGTGGAACATTTCTACAGCTGTCTCCTTCAACGAGACGCTTATTCATGTCGCCTTAATGAGAAACAAAACGTTCTCTAATGAGCAATTACAGAGCGACAGGATTGTTCCCATAACAAATTCTTGGGAGTGACAGAAGCATCCTTTGTACCAGTTACTTCGCATACTGTTACCGATTTTCCCTTCTCTGGACCGGCTCCGTGGAGCCGCCTTGGGAGCGCGCGCGCGGTGGCGCGGGCAGTCCCGTCAGCGTCCAGCGCCGCAGCCCCCACGAACCAGAAGCCCCCAGGCTAGGATGGGCTCCGGGGAGTAAGACGCCATGTCCCATTATCTCACATATTATCTCCTTGTCACCAGGACAACAAATACCGATTAATCTTCCCAGTAAACTGTTTCCTATTCTTGACCAAGCTACCTCTGTGTGTGTGGAGGGGAAGGAGAGAGTCAACGGGCCCCACCCCACCCTTATCTTCTCTCCCAGACCCGGGCATCCTACTTCTGGCTCACACTGTTGTTACTTCACCCCTCTAAGCAGTCGCCTCCCACAGAGAGTGAGAACTGGGGGCCCAGAAGGCTGGAGAGAGTGTGGGGGTGTTTTAGCTGGGAGACCACCACTCCCAATGCCCCCTTCTCCACTCGACCAACCATGAGTCTCTCTGCTCACCCTCTCTCATTTGAGCCCTACTCATAGTCACATAATCTGTCAATTATGGCAGAAAGCAAAATGATACAATTCTGTTTACCTCACAGCCTGTCAGTGTTAACCTGTCTCACTTCTACAGCAAAGAGACTTTCTGTGCATTTGAATGGCAACTTGGAACAGGGTATCACAAACCTAGCTCTTACACACACGCACATACTCTTGCTCATAACACACGTTACACAACATTTACAATCATATTACTCCTGACATAGCCCTTGCATTCCCAGGCCAGCCAGAGAGTTCAATAAACACCCCCTACATGCAGTACAAGCAAGTATCCCAAGCCTTTGAAGAGTCACCCCACCGCATCCTCTAAGCACAGAAGCCCAGAGAGGGAAAGGTTGGGGAGAAGATTATGGGCTGCATATAGGGAGCATTAGACGGATGCTTGGGGTTTTTACCTTGGGTAGGTTGCCCTGGCACTGAAGTCCCTGGATACCAACCCGGACGGGTGCCCCAGCTTCCGGTCTGCCCATTCAATATCCTTAGTTTATCATACATGCCGTCTGCGCCCATCTGTTGCTTTTCGCTAGCCAGGTTGCGAAGAACTCTGTTTATTGATGACACCTGCAAATCAAACCCAAATCAAACCAAATGGTAGTGTCTCCTAAAAACAAGGCCACTCTGTCTTAAATCCCCATCTCCACGCATCCACCCCCTAAAAGAGCAACTCTTAACACATCTTTAAAAATACTCCCAACCATCATGGTACGGGACAGTGTAGGCTGATTTGCAAGGACATGATGGACAGAATGACTGCCATCACTTTGGGCACGGAAACTGAGCTGGGTCAAAACTGGTGAGTAAGAGGGTCTCTGGTGACCGATCACTTAGCTGCCTTACTTTGTTAAAAGCTTTCCAAAAATTCTCAAGACTTATTTAGAGCTTTGTTGCACTTTTTTATATTAGCGCAGAAACGGATGTTTGATGCCTGAAGGAATGTTCAGGCAGGCAGATTTGGAGGGAGTTAGGATCTGGTTTTCATTTTAATTTTCCTTCTTGATTCAAGTGCCTCCACCCTCTACTATGCAGCATGCAAATGAGGTGACCAACTTCCCACACTTGACTCCCATTTTCCAGAAAGTCAAGGAAAGGTCAGGATGCTCCTCTCAACAGCCCCAGGTACAGAGAGCAGGGAGGTAGAGCAGAGAGGAGATAGGAGACAGACAAGGTGGGGAGGAGAGCAGAAGGAGGTGAAGAAAGATATGGTAAAGAGGAGGGAGAGTGGAGCTTAGGGCAGGGAGGGGCGTGTTCTCAGTGAACTTACACTTGGTATATTATCGTTGGTACAGACCCCCTCCGACAGTAATCTGTCTCGGATTTCCCAAGCAAAGATGGACGGACACTCCCGCTTATACTGGGCTATTTTGCTTACAACTTCTGGAGTCGCTACTCTTGGTTTACTACCACCGATTGCCCTGGGTCTGATGGAGCCAGTCTCGTAATACCTGCCCAGAATTTTACTCACACATCCATTGGACACCTGCATAGGGGAAGTGGACAGAAAACCACATTATTAATAATTTCAAGACAAAAATAAAATTGTTTAAGTATGCATTAAACAATGACAAGCTTACGTTTTGATTGTCCAGCACTTGGACTTTTGCATCTGCATGGGTCTATAAACACAAAAATATACCTTCAATGGTACGAGAACTTACTGTAGAGAGCTTTTTTTTCTCTTAAAATTACATTTGTAGCCCTGAAAACTACAAATAGGATGATACTTTTAAACAGTTTGAACTAAAAAAAAACACTAATTTAAATTAAAAAAAACTGTTTTCTTAAACACTGCCAGAAGATGCATCAAAACGAAGTCAGATTTGTGTGTTTTAAACCTTGTTTAAAGTGGTGTCATGTTTTAATGAGCAAAGGGGTAAAGTAAATTGAACTTAAACTTAATATTTACTTTAAAAATATACCCAATTGAATACATGAGAGCTATGGAGGGAGGTAAATAGCACTTGTCTTTTTAAATAAATATATATATATTCTTCCTTAGTTTATCATATGCACAACAATATCAAAATCTGAAGTAAGCATGGGATGAGAGAGAAGAAAATGCAATTATGCCGGTTTTGTAAAACTCAGCTTATTCTAGCACATAAAAGATAGTACATTTAAAAACATAAATGTTTTTTACCAAGTGAAAAGAGAAAGTTTTTTTTTTCTTTTAATTCACACACTCTTTTTTTAAAAAAAGCAGATGAGTTATGTGACTGACCAGGTTGAAAAGGATAGGGAAGGATGGTGGAAGGAAAGGGGAAAGTGGGAAGTCAGGGAGTGGCATGAGGACTGGGGTGAGGGGGTGAGGGTGGGGGTCCATCATTAGCAGCAGTTTACAGTAAGAAATGAAGAGAGGGCCTTGAAAGTGGAGGGCCGCAGGGGCGGCGAGTGGGGCACGCCAGGAGGATCACCTGCAGAATTCGGGAAATGTCGCACGGCCGGGCCCCGCTGTGTGCTAGCTCCACGATCTTCTGCCGGGTGGAGTCTGGCAGTGGCCGCCCGTTGACAAAGACACCACCTAGCTGATTCACTCCACTGTGACCTAAGGAAAGGCAGAGTAGAAGAGAGGAACAGAGGGGAGAGCAGAGGAGAAGAGAGAAGAGAGGAGGAAGAGAAGGAGGAGGAGGAGAAAACAACCAAATGCATCCTCAGCTCCCTGCCAACTCCTGCCAACCTTGGTGATCAGGTCCCTGCAATCGATCAAAAATGACAACAGGACAACAGGACCGTGCAGCCATGCAGGGCATCGGGCAGCCCATACCCTTGCCCGCTGGACTGCAGAAGCACCAGGCAGGCAGACACCTGCCAAGGAGCAAGAACACACTCACCTCACTATGGCACCATCCCAGTCGTGTCCCCAGACCACTGTCCTTCCTCATAAACACCCCAACCAGCCTCTGAACCCACAAGACGCAAACAATCAGCTCTAAAAATATCTTCCCAGAGATCCCTTCTGAGTGTCTGGCAAACGGCAGTGCCCCAGAACCCACATGGAACCTCCAAGCTCTCCGCGTTGCTGAGACTGTAAGAACAAATCCCACCGCCTTCCAGCGCTTCCACGGAGGTTTGAATCCAGAATTGTTTGCTGTCACACTCCAAACTCTGGCGAAGGCACCGCACAAGCACCCGGGTTAAAAAACACACGTATGTGGGAGAAAAGAAGGGGGAGGAGTAGAGAAGAACCAGAACAGCAGATCTGGGGCTAGCGGATCTAGCCTAGGTTTCAGCGCCTCTACCGCAGACATGAGGGTCAGAGCCTCAGATCTGCTCCAACCACGAAGTAGCCTGGGTCTGCTCAGACAGCGGTCACAGCTCGATTGACTTCCATTGCTGTTCTCAGCTCTCCTCACAGCCAAGGACAAATATTAGCAAAAATCAAAAAGCAAAAGGAAAAGGAAGAGACCACATCACAGTGCCCACACCACCCCCCCATTCCCTCCTTTATCTTCTTATCTCACAGTCTCCTCGCCCATTGTCTAATCTCAGGGGTAGGAAGTTAGCCCCTCTCTGCAGCCCCCTCCCTGGAAACCACAGGCACAGAAATAAAGCCAGTGGACAGTTTCCACTTCCGTGCAAATCTCCCACCTGCAGCCCCGACGCTGGAGAGCAGCCCTTCCAGGAGATGCGGCTCCCTGCTCAGCTCGCCTCTCCTCTCTCCTCTCTTCTCCTTGGAGTCTCTGATAAATGGACTCCAGGAGCCTGCGCTTCTTAGCAATAAATAAGCTCCAAATATAGAAGAGGGGGGAAAAATATGATGAGCCTCCCTGACATTTGTCTTTAAAATAAAACTAGCTGCACGTCAAGTTTGAGCTTAATTTCTGGAAATAGGCGGAAGTCGCTCCGGATCATGCATGGAAGGCTAATTGAAAAGATCAGTCGGGGCGCTTGTGGCAGCCTTGTCACTTTGTGACAGTGCTCCGCTCCGGGAAATTGCATCGTCACGACAAACGGGACCATGATAAAACGACCCTTTCCGTCCCTATTTGTAGATCACTCAGACGAGATTGAACCGCACTCGTTTCCCCTTCGAGGGGAGCCGCGTGTTCAGGATAGCAAAGGCTTGGGGCAGAGGGGGGGGCCCTCACCGCCGAGAGGGGGGCCGGAGCCTAAGCTCAATGAGAAGTGACAGGCGTCGGGGGGATCTGGGCTCTGCCTAGGCGCAGCATGAGTGGGGACGACACGGGGACATCACTTTTCCAACGGAGCAAGGCCTCGTTCGCGCTTCCTGTCTCTCCCAAATACCCTTCCTTGGCTCAGCAGGACCCATCTACCCTCCAACTGCAGGGCTTCCCCTTTGGACAAAGGAAGCCTCCCCAGAAAGAGAAAGGCTGTCCTAGAGAGAGACCAAGAAAGGCTTTCCAAACTTCATGCGTAGCCTGGGCGATTCCCAACCTCTGAATACCAAGGCAGAGGAGGCCGCCTAATCCTAGACTTCCCCCCACCCTTGCAAAATAATAATAATAATAATAATAATAACAACAACAACAACAACAACAACTTCCTCGACGCCTCCGCAGGGACCATGGGCTGGTGCTCGCCCAGGAAACAAGGAGACGCCAGGGCCAGGTCGCCTCTGCCAGCATCGAAATGGCAGCGAGGCAGCACGGCTCAGTTCCCCTTCAGAGGTTAAGCCTCAATCATTGTGTCCCCTCCCCGGGGAAGGCGGGCGCTCCTGCCCAGTAGCTATGATTATGCGCCTAGAATCCGACCACGAAGCATCTAATAGGAAAACATATGGTGTCAATTTGGATGCTCTGCGCCTCGCGCACACCCGGGAGTGAGGGGCACAAAGCCCCGCAGGCCTGCCCGCGACCCCGAGGCCCCTCGGGGCCCGCCAGCCAGGCCACAGAGGCAAGCACTGTGCTCCTGGGCCCCTCCGTGAGCGCTGGGGAGGCTGAGCTGCAGGAGGAGAATCCAGCTGCCCTGGGGGTGGGCAGAAGCCTTCACTGCCAAGAAGGTTGCCTCCTGGGCCAGCCCCCGGGGCCTCCAGGTTCTGCACAACTGAACCCCCTTTACAGCTTGCCACCTTTACGTCCTCTCCCCAGCTTCCGTCCACCAGCCGCTGAGGCACCAAGAGGCAGCCAGCGCTTCCAGGACAGAGGCATCTGGCTCTAGGGACCCGTCTGGTCTGCAGTCCTACACCTGAGCCCTTAACCCGAGTCCAGATTCCGCACCTCAACCTAGATTTAGGCTTCACTGGGCCTCCAGGCTCCCAGGTCCGGACTCCAGACTAGCCCTGCTGCATACCAACACGCTTGGACTGACCAGGAAGGTGGACTGGGCCCTGGGGGCCTGGGCAGAGGGCGCATGGGAAACTCAAGAGGCGGGATCAGAGGTGCCATGGGCATACCCCGGAAACAATCAGCACCCACACAGCAGTAGCAGGGCTTTGCCAAGTTCTTGGCTGAAGCCCGACTCTTTTCCCAGACCCAAGAGCCCAGTAACAGCCCCACTGGACAAGTTTACCACCTCCACCTCGCCCTCACCGCAGGCTTGGGTGTCTTGCCCTCTAGGCCCCAAGAGGGGTGGAGAGGGAAGGAGCTGCCCAGGGAGCGACTCGGGGAGGGGAGCCCCACACCCCGCCCCATGGAGGAGACTTCTGTCTTGGCTAAGCCCAAAGGGGCCTCCTTCTCCTAGAGCAACCAGGAGAAGCCTCCGCCCCTCTCTGCTCAGCCCAGCCCCTCTCTCTGGGGTCAGAGCCCGGGCAGGGGAGGGGAGGGAGGTGTGAGTTACAGGATTTGGGGGGAGGGATGGGGTTTCTCTACCTCAACTTCACAAACTGGAGTGGGCTGTTCTGAAGCGCCCAGCTCCTGTTTGTCCAGGAGCTAGAACAGCGGAGCAAAAGCCCTCCCCTCTCAGGTTGCCAGGCGCAGAGGGGGGCACAGTTGCCTTAGGTCCCTGGGGTTTTTCCTTGCTACCACGGTGGCCTGGTCAGAGCTGACCCCTTCCCCTGACCCACTGGGTCCTCGGATCCCCAGCCCCACGGGAGAAAGACTAGAGGCACTTACTGTTCTGCATGCTGGCACTGGCTGTGGGGCGCGGGATCCCACGGGGCTCGAATATGGGATTCTGTTAGCAAGAACACAGGCATTAGTCCTGGGCGGGGTAGGCCTGCCTCTGGATGGAGGATGACCTGGAGCCAGGACAGGGGCTCTTTAGGAAATAACCCACACAATTGCTTAGAGCTATCTGAGGGTCACCCAGCTCTACCTTGCAAGCATGCAACAATAAAAAAATAAAACACTCCAGTATTCCCAATCTGTATCTTCCAGACCCCAAAGTATTAAACCCTTTCATCAGAAGAAAGGATGACCCTATTTTGATTTTTTTTCTTTTCTTCCATCTGAACAACAATAAAGAAGCGTTCTGAATCTGTAGGGTTTTGGATCCCAAAGCAGCTTTCAAGCCACCACAGAACTTGCCTGGAATCTGGGATGTCTGTCCACTCTCACAATAAAAGGTCTCACACATCTGCGCGCCCCTAGTTAAGGTCTTCCCCCTAAGATAAAACAGAAGGCGAGAAAGGTGTGTCAGATTGTGGCTCAAACGCAAAGGCCGCGGGTTCCCTGAACCACACTCTCAGAAAACAAAACGAAACAAAAATACTCATCTAGGACTCACACTGCCCTAAACCCCAAATCTCAGAGCTGCACCCACGTTTTCGGCAGCCTCTCCCGCAGAAGTCTCTACCTTTTAGAAGTGACTGCTCTGGCCTGGCTTGGGAGGACTGGAGAATCTGACAAGCCAGGCCCCATTTGCAAAAAAATATCTAGAGCCAGGGAAAGGAAAAGGGAAAGAACAAGAGAAACGGTGGAATAGGGGGTAGTGAGGTACACACACGAAGTTTAGAGGTGAAGGGAAGAGGACCTCAGAACTTCAGAGTGCCGGAGAGTGCAGGCTGGGGCTGGTCCGGAAAGCTGCAGAGCCATCCTCTCCTTGAGGAATTTTACCACCCAGCCGCCTAAGGCCCCCAGAACCCAATTCTCTGGTTACCACTTTCTCCTTCACTCTCCCCTTCAAAGCTTCCCAGCCAGGCCCTTCCTCCACCCATCTCCCAGCCTTTCTTGGACTTTGAATGTGGTGAGCCCAACTTTTCCCCCTCAAACCTCACTTATTGTTATTAACTTTTCTATTGGTGTTTAGATCGTCCCCCCTTTTACTGTACTGGGACACACGCTGTCTACCTCGCCTCACTGCTTTAAAAAGTAGGAACAGGAGGGGGTGAGCGTGGTCGACAAAGCCTACAGACAGTGAACAATGGCTTCTATTCTCCAGCTCTCCCCATCCCCAAAGAGCAAGACGGACTCTCCCTAACCAGCAACACAGCTTCCAACCACACGTACCAACAACCCACCAACTCACAAAGGGAACAGAGGAACACTTCTTGCATTGTAAATCCTGACCTGGTGCTTGTCTCCCCCAAGATTCATTCTCCACCACCCCTTCTACCATCCGTCCCCTGAGAAGGTTTTTGGGGGAGGGGAGAGAAAATAGAAAAGTAATTTCTCGTTATAAATATCTGGAGGTAATTGTGTTACTGGTGTGAGTTGTTAGGGGCTGTAAAAAGATACAACGGCACCGTAGGGTGCTCAATTGGGAAGAGAGAATTACAATGAAGAGTCCATTCAAATGGTTTGGGCAAAAAAAAAAAAAGAAGTAAAATAATTAAATAGTCACAGCATCATTTCTCCCCGTTTAAAAAAAAAACACAACACTAAAATACTCCTTTTTGTTCCTGTTTTGCCTATTGTGATTATTAATTTTGCTGCCTGCAAGCAAGGAATTCCAAGAAGCATAATTTTTCTCCCTCCAAAGCCATTCAGGGTCTAATTTATTACCTAGCTGGGAGGCAGCTTAAATCCATAAAAATTAAACTTAGGAGGAACATTTCTTCCCAGCTTCCAAATTTGGCCTGGTAAAGATTGGAGACGGCAGAGGGCTACCTAGTTATGCCTAGCTGCATTGGCTCTCCAGGCCTCCCACCTCTCAGTCCCCTTGACCACGGTCATGCCTCCACCAGGCAAAAACCCCAACTTGGTTCAGAATGTGTGTGTGCCCTCCCCTCACCCCCCCACACATGCCCTCCAAGTGGGACTCTGAAAAGGCAAAGTGGTAGCAGGCCGAAGAGGAGTATCGGAATACTCCAGAAGGCTTAAAACTTCCGAACTCCTTCTCCGTACCACTCTGTGCTCAAACACCAGCGAATGCCCCCATCCCAGCAGCTATATTCTGGATGCTTTTTTTTTTTTTTTTTTTTTTTTTTAAAGAATTCAGTAGCTGATTACAGAGAGGCCTAACCGAGTAATTTTCAAAGCATCTGGGAAAGCGTTTCAAATTCCGGTTCTACTCCATTCCCACCCCCTCTCGGCAGAGAATCTACCTAATTGCTTAAGTAATCGCTAAAGTGCAAAAAGCAATCTGAGAGGCTGGGCATGCCAAGCCCGGAAGCAAACACGCCGCCCCCCGGGAGAGTTGAGAACCCCCAGCCTCCCTCCAAGCTCAGCCATGGGGTCCCTAAAGCCCTAGATGGGTCAGGGACTCGCACCAGGAATCAAGCAGTTTCCAGTTGGAAGTCGCCTGAGCCTTGGTCCACTAGGCCACTGGGCCACAGCCTTCCTGACACAAGCCTCAGCTTTCAAATGCTGATGTTTAAAATTACTTAAGTCTCAAAATCCAACCCCAAACTCCGTAGCTGGGGTGAATGGGAGAGCTCACTTTTGTCCCTCACGGCCTCCCCGGCCAAAAAGTAATTAGCAATTAAAATGACAAAGTTTTACTCTCTAGGGCCAAATAAGATAACAACTAATCAAATTGCCTTCAGACGTTTTGCAAAGGTCACTGGCTATAAAAAATGTAATGTCAACGGCAACAACTATTATTTCTCCTACGTAAACTCACCGAGCTTTTAAGCTCTTTGCTTTTTATTTCATTTTCTGCTCCCGACCCTCCTCGACCTTCCCAAGTTCGAGTTAAACATCCAAAATGGCTTAAGGAGCTGTGCAGAGAATGAGAGAAAAAGATCTCATGTTCACGTTGTTTTTAAACTTTGCAGAAATCACTCAAGACTGAAGGGCCGGGTTTTAGCGCGCACACACACACACACACACACACACACACACACAAATACAAGAGAGAGAAAGCATTTTCACTTGAAATTCAACTCCATTTCCCACCAATTACACTTGCTAAAATTCGGGCCTATTATGGAACACAGAGACCGAGAAAAACCGGACAAGGAAAGAGGCAACAACTTTATGAACTTTGAAAAGACACTTTTCCTCCTGGGGTCTTAGAATCAATCGAAAAGCTCTCAAATTACTCGGACTAATTGGCTGGGAGAGGATGTGATCAGACGAAGGGGAAAGCCAGTGTTTTCACATTGATTTTTGTAAAGCCTTATAAAGAAAAAAAAAAATCAGAGAATTTAGATGTTTTTTTTTTTTAAAGCAATCCAATCCACTTTTCCACCTCGAAAACTTGTTGAAATGGCAACACCGAGTGCAGCATTGTCAGAGGAAGACAAGGAAACATACCCACCGGGCGCTGGGGGCTGGAGGACAAGAAGGACCCCAGCTTTCGCAGGGCGAGGGCGAAGGTTGGGGGAAGCGTGGGGAGTCAGAGAGTTTGCAAGTTCCGAGTTCTGCGCTCAAGTTGAGGGCGAGAGCCTGAGGGCTTGAAGGAAGCAGATGATCAATCCTGTGCTCGGCTCAGAGCTCCCTCGGAGCGCGCGTTCGACCGCTTTGGCCTGGCGGCTTCCTTCCCGGCGCCCGCTCGCATTGCCTTTCTCTCTGCATCCAGCGTGCCGTTGCCTTGCCGATCGACTCTGCTCCTGCGGACGGCGGCGGGCGCGGTGCCCTCGGCGCTTGAGTGCCAGCGGACTTGTGTGCCCGGGCCCAAGCTGCACAAAGGCGGAGGGCGGGCGAGGAGGCGGCGGAGCGGCGAGCTGGCTTCCTTGGCGCTCCCTCGGTGCGCCCGCTCCCTGCGCGCTCCCGGGGCCCTCGGCTGGACAAAGCAGCCGGCAGCGTTTGGTCCCCGCAGCCGTTCCCGGGCCTGGAGCACCTCAGACCCTCGTCCTCCTCTCCTGCGAGCCGGGAGCATTTGGAGTTGATGGGGGGGCCGGGAGCCCCGGTGCTTCTGCGAGCTCAGCCCTCGCTGGTGCAGGCGCTGGGGGTGAGCCGGCCGCCGGCCCAGAGCCCAGCGCCGCTCCCGCTCCCGCTCGCCGGCCGTCGCCCTCCGACGCGGGCTTTTGCTTTTGCTGGAAGTACAAAGTTTGGGCTCCAGCGTGGAAACTTCTCCGGCCCAACTCTCCGGGGCGTAGCAATGCGGGGGGGGGGGGGGGGGACCGGCGAGACCGGAGGAAGGAATGGGGGGGGGGGGGGAAACACGGGGAATACCTGCCTGAATATTGCAATAAAAAAAATGAAGCGAGAAGAAAGAAGCGGACTCACCTTTATGAGGCATCCTCTCCCATCCAAGCTCCTGTCAAGAGTTTTGTTTGCTTGGGTGTTGAGGGGTTTTTTGTGGCTGTTATTGCTGCTTAGAGACCACCTCGGTTTGAAATGACGGTGTTTTAGAGGAGTTGCTGGCGAGAGTTCCCTCCACGGATGCTGCCGGGTTGGTGTGTGAGAGCAATTCTCAGATCCCTGGGAAAGGAGACAGAGATTGACAATAAAATGGGCTGTCAGCAGGCTGGAGAGAGAGAGATAAAAGAGTGTGGGTGAGGGAAGTGGCTGCAGCCAGCACACCTATGCTGATTGGTGATGGCTCAAGTGTGCTAATGTGTGTGTGCCGGGCGCCCGGCCTCGCCTCCACCGCTCCTCACTGGCCCATTAGCGAAGCCTGACCTCTGTCATCATCCTCCAGCAAAACACTTCCTCCTGCGCCTGAACCAGAGCGGGAAATGAGGCCGAGCCACCACGGTTCGCTTTTCAAACCCACTAATCACTCCGCCACATGCAAATGCCCCGCTCGCTCCCACACAAAATATTGCTTTATGCAAAGCAGCGCCGGGGCCTCGCGCCCGCCGATTGGACGCTCCCTCTCCCCGCCGGGTGCAATTGGTCCGTTTGTTTGAATATGAATACACTTGTTTTCGGCTCCGCCGCCGGTGGGTCGCCGCAGCTCCTCTCCCCGGCGCTGGGCCCCCCGCGGCCGGGCTCCGGAGCCGGTGCTCGCCGACACCGCTAGGCTCCGGGCGCCCTGGGAGTTAGCGCGGCCCTCCGCCCCGTGGCTCGTGGCTGCTAAGGGAGTTGGAGGAGGGGGGGGGGGGGGTCGCGCCCCCTACCTCCCCAAACTGGGCTCGGAACTCTCAATTCGTGGGGAGCAAGTTCCCGCAGACCTTTCTTGCCATCCTCCCCGCAGCTTGGCCAGCCGCCCCGCCCCCGCCCGCCCTCGCCCCCGCCCCTACCAGGTCTCCGCCTGGGCACCGTGACACCGAGCGCCGCGGTGGCCGCGCCCTACCCCACCTGGCCGCCGCCGGGAAGAAGAGAGAAGGGGGTGTAAGCAGCACTGGGTTTCGGCAGCAACACTCCGGGGATGGCCGAGGCGAAAGCGAGGCGGAGAGGAGGCTGCGCAGGCTGGCCACTCCTCGGCGAGGCCGGGCCGCCTTCCCAGTCCGGGCCTCCCTCCCCAGCCTGCCCATCACCCCACCCGCGCTCCCCCGGCCCTTTCTTCTGTTCTCTCTCCTTTCGGAAGCCGCCGAGCGCAGCGGAGCGGAGTCACCGGACGGGGCTGGAGAGGCCCCCCGAGCAAACAGGCCACTTACTTTGTGTACAGAGGGTTCTTGTGAAAAGCCCTGAAGAGTCCTCACCAAACACTCAACCAACTTCTCCCACGTGCCATTTGTTGACTAAGTGCGGCTGCTCTTCCAAGAAAGGAGGGGGCCCCGAAGGGTGGGGGTGGGGGGCAGATGGGACGGGAGGAGGATGTCTGGGGCCTGAAGAGGAGGGAGATGACCAATGCTGGGAGAGGGTGTGTGTGTGTGTGTGTGCGTGTGTGTGTGTGTGTGTGTGTGTCCTCGCCCGTGATGTCAGTGTGCATTATCTGTGTGTGGTGCAGGTGCATCGGCACCAGGATTCCTTCTTTTGGGTCTGCTCAGTCCACAGAGGCGGCTCCCCTTCAACTGTTGCCAGAAAACCCAGGGAGGAAAGTAAGTAAATGGCTTTTCTCTTCTGACCACACACCACAAGTCCATTTGTTGAATGCCGGACAATTAGGGCACACCTCGGTGCACTCCAAAGGCACCCCTTGGCGCCGCAGTTAAGGTGACGGGAGAGAGTGGCTGCCTAGTCCTGCGAAGTCCAGGAGCTCTCAGGCCCTGGCACAAGGGAAGGGGAGGTTTAGGGATGAGGAACACACCCTAGGACCCTGCAAAGACAGGGCTTGGGAGAGCTGAGGCAGAGAGGCAAAAAATGAAGCCACCGCTGGGTGCACTTGACTCCTCTTGACTTAGGAAAAGTGTTGAAAGTCAGAGCTCACCCATGAAATCCGTGTAACTCTGAACTCGGTGCAAATGGCAGGGTAGCTGCCCCTAGAAGCTGGGGCCACGGGACGCTGTCAGCTGCCTTGGGCCTCGTGTGGGCCACCCATTCTGGTCCCCAGCCCGGACCCAGTAACCCCGCTGCTGAGGAGCTTGGGCAGAGCTCGGGGAGAGCGGAGGCCTCCTCGGGCTCCACCAGGGTTGGGGCAGCACAACCCTTTCAGTTCCTCGGTCTGGGAACCGCTCTTCCCATAGGCCAGGTACCCTCTGCACCAGGACAGACCCCAGGCCAGAAGCGAAGCAGGTGGCACGGGCGCTCAGGTCAGCGGTCTCCTGAGCGAGGTTTCGCAGGACCGAGACTTCTCCCCGTCCCCGAAGTGGGACAGCGGGCCCAGGTCTCAGGCCAACGAGAGTCGGCATGTGATGTTTCTCTCCTCTCCTCCTTTTTTACTTCTCAAAGAAGCACTAAAGAAACTTGAATTCAAGTCCACTGGGCATAAGCAAGGGGGAAGGAGGGAGGAGGCCCAGAGGCGGTCCGAACTGGAGGCTGGAGGTGAATATCATTTTTACAACCTCTCAATTAGGGACCGACTGGATTAGCACCTTCTTAAGCTTTGCCTCGGAAAGGAGGGACCGTAATCTTGTTGCTATTTCCCCCCTGGGCACTGTCTCTTGGAATCGCTGCTTCTCCCACCCCTCAACCCCCACCTCACCTCCTAGAAAAGTTTTAACAACAAGAAAAACAACAAAAATGATAAGAGGCCAGGAGCCAGGAGTGAATGCCACTGACGTCATTGGGTGGGGATGGGGGTGGAGGTTAGGGGGAGGACTCTGCACAAACAAGAAACAAAAAGGGACTTAGCTGCTTCCAGTGTGTCAATATTTGGGGGCAGGGAGGGGGGCGGGAGTCAGAGTTTTCAAAGTTAGAAGGGTGGAGAGCGAGATCTCACGTTCTCCCTGGGATAGGGGGTTGGGGGTGCTCTTCTGCCTCGTGGGGGGCGCCTCTCTCTCTCGGCCAAGTACACGTTCTGGGCGGGGGGGGGGGGCCCCCGACGCGGCCAGTTGGGGGGCAGGGGCGGAGAGGCAGCACGTGGGGGGGGGGGGGACAGAGGTGAGAGCAAAACTGAGACAGCTCGCATGTCGCCATTTTAATTGCGGCTTCGTAGGCCCACTAGCTGCCCTCCAAGCAGGGGGGTGGGGGAATCGCGCCTCGGGTTTCCGTTTCGCTTCTTCCCGCCTCTCTTCAAGTCTTCTCCCCTGCCCGCTGCCCGCTGCCCGCAGCGGACAGCTCCCGGCCGGTTCCCACAGGGGCCGAGGAGTCATCCCGCCTGGTAGGGAAGGCTGTTTGTGCCGAACTCACCGCTCACCGGAGAATGCCCGGGGCTTCTGGCCTGTATTCGTTGGTAAATGTGAGATGGGCAGCAACTCACCCCAGTGCTCCCAGGCATTCGAGGTTGCCCGCTCCCCAGATTTCCAGTCTGGAGGAGGCCTCTGGCTAAGCTAAGAGGCGGCCAGCTCTTAAGAGATGTGCTTTTTTGGCCCCGAGTCTCCCACCCGGTGTTGGCGTTGCAACACCTCTGAACTGCCGCTTTCCACTCCCTAGCAGAAGCGCGGTGCTGGCACGCTGGGGAGGGTGAAGAGGAGCTTTTCTCCGGAGTAGGAAAGTCTCTGTAAGCGCCTGCACCACTTTGCAGAGACCCAAAAGGCTCTCTTTTCTGGCAAAACCGGGCCCAATGAGCACAAAAGGCAAAGGCCGACCAGTTCCAGGTGCCTCTTTCACTTCAGGCCTTTCTCCCTCCCTTTTTCTCCCACCAATATGTGAGTTCCAGTTCACTCCTCAGCCTCCAGAGTACCCGAAGGCAGAGAAGAATCTGGAGTTGGCAGCATCTCCAGCCTGTGACCTGGGTGCCTTGGCCTGCTCTTGCCTCGGACCAAATACCAAATGGCAGGTGGGTTCGGTCCTCTTTCATTCACGTTAGGCAGAAAGCGCATCTCTTCCTCTATATCTCCACCAAATACTTCACACACACACACACACACACACACACACACACCCCAACTGGGTTTCTCAGCAGACACCCAAGCTTTGCTTCCCGGATCCTAGGATCCTACATGCGGCTCTCCAGAGAGGGGCCCCGCTTTAAAACTCCAGATGCCTAAGACATTTGCAATCATTGGCACTCTTTGATTTTTGCAAATAGGGTTCTCAGGAAAGTTTGCTTTTCATTTGGTCGCCTAGAGAGGTTCCCTGTTTCTCCTGTCCCTGTAACTCCTGCCCTCAAGAGGCAAGAGTTCGGCTTTACACAGCCCCTTCTCCCTAGAGATTCCATCTCTAAACAAACGAAGTCCGAAGTTTGTCCCAGTGTCTCAGGCTGGGCACTGGGGAATTTGCTGGGGGGTCTGAAGCTGGGGAACAGGGAGGGAGCAAATGTCAGGGCTGGTTCGCTGGAGCTAAGCACATCCTGGCAACTCTTAAAGAGACATTGATTGGGACAAGCTGTTCCCCACCCCCGCAAGAGTTAATATGTCTGTTAATCAAGACACTAAGGACCCAAGATAGATTAGCGATTGGAGGACATAGGCAGAAGTGAGGATCAAAAGCCGGGGTCCCAGATATTTGTCAGCATGGTCGCACACACGTATTTTCAATTAGAGAACAATTGGGCCACCACTGCCTAACCAGCCTCACAGGTGGCGACTTACAAACCTGGCTAGCAGGGAAAACCAGGGAGGTCAGGGGAGCATGGGGAGGCCAGCCAGGGGAGAGATTCCTCGGAGGGGCTGCAGATTGGCTGCTCAGCTCGGCCTGAGAGAGTTTAAGAATCAGCAGCCTGGGGCCCTGAAGCCTCAAATTCCCACTTCCCTGCCCCCAGGAGAGAGAATTAAAAATAAAACAACAAATAATACGGACAGTATCGGCATCCATCCATCCCTCCCGGCCAGCTCCCCACTGCTCTGGCTGGGCTCTGGCAGCCGGGAGGCACTGGGAGGGGGGGGGGGGGGGCGACGCAGGAGCCGGAAGGGAAGTTTGTGCGGCCAGAGGAACTCTCCTTCCGCTGCTCCAGCGATGCCCCCTTCTGCCCCGGAGGGACGTTAGGCTCCCTTCGGTTTCCCTTTCAAATTCTAAAATAAATAAATTCACGCCATGCCCTGGAGAAATCCGAACAGTAGCTCTTTCAATAATCCGAATGAAAGGAGAGAGTTACATCTGCCCTCGGTGATGGAGAAGGGCGCTGGAGTGAGAAGACGACCCAGGAGGTCCCAGCTTGCCCGGGCGCTGGGGGAGGACTCTGGTCAGAGGTAATTATGTCACTGCGCCTTCTCGCCGTGACAGCCAAATAAACACAATCTCCAATAAACATCTCTAATGAGGGAGGAGGCCCGAGGATGGCTGGCTTTGATTTATGGCTGGAGGAGAAGGTCCACTCCCCACAGCGAAGTGGGCAACCTGCTCCGCTCCTCAGTCCAGAGAGAGGAACTCGG